GACTCTCTTGCTGCATACATCAGCAAGCAAGTATTTAACTTTTTAAATTTAATTCACTATTAGCACTGTCTCTCTATAAAATCTAAAAGGCAAATTACTGCTTGGTCTCAGGATTATTTTTTGTGATTGGTGCATCTTTAGTTATCCAAATATTCAGAGAGTGCTTTTTCGTGTTTTGTGGTTGCTTTCAGGCGTGCGGGTTTAAACAAAACACTGTCTGCACCCTGGCCAGTATTTAAAACACTGAAAAATTGGCTGGCTTTTTTACCAATGACTTCAGTCACCTGAAGGGCAGCTATGCTCTCATGGCTTGTTGATGATGAATTCAAAATTCATTTTTATGTGGAATGAATATGGAAATGATGTGGTTTGTTACTGCTCTTACTTGCAGGTACATCCATAGTAATGTTGGAGGTGCTGAGGTCTTGATAAGGGGACAGAGGCATTTCGATGTGCTCATTTTCCTGATGTTTTATTCACACGAATGTGTTCATTGCGAAATGTGATCAGAAGTTTTGTTCATATAGTGCTAGACTTTGGACCTTTCCATCCATTGTTGCAAACTTGTTGCTTTGACCTTTGCTTTGTAACTGTCTTAACTCTTAAAAATAGAGATTTTTATTTGTACTCCTAGACAAAACCTGCAGGATGTTTCTCTGAACTCCCTTATGCAACTTCTCCTTGCAGCCTGAGATTTCTTAACGCCTCTGCCAACAAACTGGAAATGCTTCCTCCGGCCACCCTTTCTGAAGAAACCCACAGCATCTTGCAGGAGTTGTATTTGACCAACAACAACCTCACAGATAAATGCGTGCCCTTGTTAACAGGCCATCCACACCTGAAAATCTTGCACATGGCTTACAACCGCCTACAGAGCTTCCCCGCGAGGTGAGTAACTGGTTTCGCTGCCTTTGGCTCACCACTGGGTGGGCATCACGAAACGTTTCCTCAGCGAGAACCAAATTGCACAGAAACGTGGAGGCACAGGCTGTATTTTGAAGGTGGTGGTCCACTCTTCCACCGCGGAGGGTGGATTCACCTGCCGTGCCCTGTTGCGCGTCGCTACCCTCTCTTGCCTTGCACGGACAAGCAAGTGCTACACCTTAGTTGGTGTGGTTTGATTGAGCTTGAAGTTCTTTTCCACTGGGCTGATTCAGCCACAGTGGAAGCTTTTGAAGCTTTACTGACCACAGTAAGCTTTTGAAGTCAAGGAAGGAGGTCGTCTGTTTTCCCTGGCTTGGCCACTTTGTTCACACCTGGTGGTCTTCTGCTTACAGGAGGTTTGCGAGCATAGCAGTCTGGAAATGTCCTCTGGAAGCGGACTAAGCTCCATTAGGGAAAAATCCTCTCGCTCCAGAAGGAGATTCTGACTTGGCAGCCATTTCTGTACTTTCAATTCACTGTGTTGTAATCGGAAATCTTTCAAGTGTAAGATGTGCTGTAAAGCTGATGGGGTACAACCTTGGAAAAGAGATGCCAATAAATAAAGGAAGAGACATCTCTGTCCTTGTGTGATGTTCTGAGCAGCTGGGCTTCACTGGCACGGGGGAGAGGGAGGGAGATGGATTAGGGGGAAGGGCCGAGTGGGATGCCAGAAGGCGAAGGGGAGAATCTGGGACAAAGTGGGAAACTAGGGTTGAAGGAAAGGGGAAGGAAGGAGGAAGAAGAGTGAAAGTGAGCTGGTGAGCAGGGGGAACGTAAGCCAAATAAGCCACTTGAAAAGTAGCATTAAGAGAACATTGACAGAAGAAGCACACGTTCTGTTCCACAACTGTGTTAGCATCTGGTGTGAGGAGAGGTGACGGGCCCTGCTGTGAACAAGAACCAAAGTCCGCAGTTTTATTTTCTTAAAATAATAAAAACCATTGCTCTTATCACCACTTGAAAATAAAATATGCATGTCTATTAAAAGACAAATTCTCAAACTCTTGTTTTCATAGCAAAATGGCCAAGCTGGAAGAGTTGGAGGAAATTGATATTAGTGGGAACAAACTGAAAGCCATTCCAACGACCATCATGAACTGCAGACGTATGCATACTGTAATTGCTCACTCCAACTGCATCGAAGTCTTCCCAGAAGTCATGCAGCTTGCTGAAATAAAGGTAAGGAATGAACAATTCCATTCTCCCCTCAGGTCTGTAATTGCTACAGGATAGAGTTATTCTTAGAAATTACCGAAATCTGACAGCTGCTTTCTCCTCTGAGGTCATATGCAAAATATTTGCCCCTGTGCTGCCTCAGAGCGGAATGGAAGAAGAGCCTCAAAATCTGATTTTCACGCTCACCATCACCAGATCCCATCTTCTCTGCCAAATAAGTGTTAATTGTCTTCCTGTGACAGTCTGTTATGATACAACTTAAACATTTGGCAAGAGCTATGCGTAATTAACTCTTGCTGCCTTGGCAATTGGTTGATGGTGTAGGAATGGACTTTGTTTAGAGCACATGTTAAAAACCGCTGGAGTTGCAAAATAGAATAGGCCTTGGGGACAGAGATAAATTCCAGGAGTGCAGGACTTGAGTATTTAGGCAAGCTACTTTAATTTTCCTAATTGCAGTCATGTTTTGCACAACCGGAGGAATGGTTAATCCGTGTCTTGTATGCGTTTCCAGAAGTAATTCTGGATTTTTCCTAGCACTTCTTTTTGTGGGACACATTCTTTGCCCGAGCACGCTGAAGAGCACCACTGCTTACCTTTTGTGAGTCGAGTTCCTGCTTCTCTCCTGGCGACAGCGCAGAATATTTTGCTCTGTGTGCTGTTTCCGCTGGCCGGAGCTGGGAGACGGTTAATTCCCGGCGTACAAATGTTGTGATACAGCAGAAAATCTGTCCTTCTCTGAGGCTGAGAACTGATTACCTATTCCTGGACTCGAAACAACTTCAGCGTCCTTCGGGCGCTCCGTGAAGTCAAAAGGCTGAATTCCCAGACTGTCGTGTGTGCCTCAGTGTCTGGGGTCAGGCAAAGCAGCAGGAGCAATAATTCTGTTGGACAGCGAGTGCATGTAAAGATGAGCTTTGTGGTTTTAGCCAGGAAATCTCCAACAAACTTGTGGGTTTTTGAATACTCCTCCCTCTTCGGAACAATGGCCAGAGGAAGCAGAGAGCCATTTAGAATCAATCAGATGCAAAGCTTTTTTTTCTTAGAGGAAGAATTGGGGTGGGGGGGCGAGGTGCTGTGCAGTAAACATTTCAAAAATACGAGGGTGGTGTTAACAGAAAAAAAAAAAGAAAAGAGGATAGTGTAAACACGCTGATAGGGAACAACTTTGATCGTGTGTTCTGGGGAAAGCTGAAAGTTTTATCAAAACGTCAGTATTTAAAGTGCTGCTCTGCCACAGTGCTTAGCAGAAAAACGCTCTCGGAAGATCTATCAGTTTCTTCCCACCGTTTCCCTACGGTTATTTAGTTCTCTTTAGCAGAAGAAAGAGGCACGAACGTCACTAACTGTTTTGGGACTGCAGGGATAGCGTGCATGACTTCATCCGAGAGTGCTCTAGGACTCCACCCGTGCAGAAAGAAAATGCCTGGGTTTAACTTCTGTGAGATGGGTTCCTATAGCTGCCGAACGGGAAGGTTGGGCACAGAGGTTCTCCTGGCCTCTTGGTGGTTTCTCTAGGTCAGGGTTGGTGTTTGTCATTTTGGAGGTCAAGCTTGTGCTGCCTGCCTGTCGTCTGTTGCTTAGCTTAAGCCGAGCTGCTCCGTAGGTACGTGAGAGCGTTCAAAATGTGCCAAAGTAGGTCCAGAATTTATTGCTTGAGTATGGATTTGGTCGTTTGGTGAAACAAACTTGCTTGTGACAAAGCACGAAGTTATATAATCTCATGTCACCTCTGTGATTATAGCATATTTGGTGGTTAATTTTAACTGAGGTGGCATGCAAACGCTCTAAGCTTCTTGGGAGCTCTGTTACCTGAGGTGATGGCAGTTTTGCTTTTGTATTTAATTAGCTAGAGAGAGTGACATGTTATGGTTTTGGAGTCAGTGATACTGGAACAGTTAGTAGCAGCAGTTACTATGCTGTCTGAAATAATTTCAGAAGGAAAGGTAGTATAAATGATGATGCTTTTACACTTGCAGTAACTCCAGGATTTCCAAACACAAGGTCATTTTAGTGATAAAATTGTCTCTAAGCCTTTTTTACACACTACAGTCAAGGCTACAGAAGTTATGTGCTGGCCTCTGTGTTAGAGCCTGGTGGATGTCTCTGAGATATCTCACGTAATACATTTTTTATGTTTTTTTATTGTATTTTATGACAGTTATTTATACTGTCAGAGTTAGGTTTATCTGTGCACACTGAAATGTCTTCTGTTCTTTCGCAGTTAAACAGTTGAGTAGTCCTTACTGCTTGAGCAGAGTGTAACGGCCCAGGCTTGCTTTTCCCACCCAGGACCTGGCTTGGCTTTATTGTCCAGCTTTTGTTGACTGATGAGTTGCCTCTCTTTCGTGGTCGTCTTGCTGGGCTACTGCAGTGGGGATCATATAGAGGTTTCTTGTCACAGTTTTTGGTCAAGCTTATCTTTCACAGGAGCATTAACTCGGGACCTGAAAGAAGTGAAGATTTAGTAGTAGCATCTTAAAGATGAAACTCTGAATCTTTGGTAGTTTTTCTCCTAGTTAAATAGGTTAGCATCAGTCTGACTGCCTTCAGTCACAACTGGATTTAAGTCCAGTCCCTTTCAGCCTTGAACAGAACAGTCACAAAGCTGTAAATGCAGGGTAAGAAAATGCTGAATATTAAACTCTGTCTTCCAGCTGCAAAATCCTGTGTGCAGTTGCAGGAGTTGTTCTTTCAGTGCCATGTGGACGGGGCTAAACTAGCTTGCGTTAAAAAAAGCGCACGAGGCAGTATGGATCAGTTAGGAAATACGCTTTACTGCCGGCCTGGGGTGTAGAATAAGGACTAAATTTAACATAGATATGCAGAAAGTCTCTCTTAGCTTTTTCTTCTAACAATGAGGAAAGAGGAGGGCCACAAAGATGATCCGAGGGCTGGAGCACCTCTGCTCTGGAGACAGGCTGAGCGAGTTGGTCCTGTTCAGCCTGGAGAAGAGAAGGCTCCAGGGTGATCTTATAGCAGCCTTCCAGTACCTAAAGGGGCTACAGGAAAGCTGGAGAGGGGCTTTTTACAAGGGCCTGTAGTGATAGGACAAGGGGCAATGGATTTCAACTGAAAGAGGGCAGATTTCTATCAGATCTAAGGAAGAAATTCTTCACTCTGAGGGTGGTGAGGCACTGTAACAGATTGCCTAGAGAAGCTGTGGCTGCCCCATCCCTGGAAGTGTTCAAGGCCAGGCTGGATGAGGCTTTGGGCAACCTGGTGTAGTGGAGGGTGTCCCTGCCCATGGCAGGGGGGTTGGAACTAGATGATCTTTGAGGTCCCTTCCAACCCAAACCATTCTATGATTCTATAATGCAAATAAAATGTAAGAAATCCTAGTCTGATAAATAAGCTGTCTTCACTAGTGCTTAGGGACCAAGGGATCTGCTGTAGAATGTTGCTACCTTTGGCATATTGAACGCTTAAAGAGAACAATGAAATTACTTTACCAATTTTTGTACTTGTTATTCCTGCATGCTCTTCCATCAAATTCGTAATGGCATTGAGGTGTTGAACACAGCAAGACCTGCTGGCAGCTTCTTTAATCTGCAAAGTAATTGCTGGCTCTCTGGAAGCAGCCCCAAGGAGTTGCGCGGAGGAAAAAAGCTCGCTGGAATAACTCTTCTGTTAAGCTGTCTGCTGTTTTGTTTGCGTGACAGATTTCGACTCTGATTTCCTTATCAGGCTTAGATAACGTCAGCAGTTTGCTTTTCATAGATAATAAGGCCTCCATATTAGACAACTTCAGGATTCGAGATTTGGGTCAGAAATTCGTTATTTCCATTACGTGCATCTATTAAAGTGTTAGGAGATTTTTCTTTTCCAGGCTTTACTAGGTTATCTTATGCCTTCTTTCAGCTCAGGACCCAATCTCTTTGAATATACCTACAAAAATGAAAATGTCTCACCTGTATAAAAGCCACATAATGGCCTCCCCTCAATGCTTTCATTTTTCTGTTTTATTCAAGTTTTTAAAGTTTTTCTCTTTTTGCAGGTTGAAAGTAGAAAAAGGTCTTTCTAAAGGATGTGGATAGTTCTTCTATCCTCTGTTAAATACCAGCCTGCTCTGTCCTCTCAGAATTTTTTATTTTTTTCCAATTTTTGGTGCATGCTACACTGGTAGTTCTGTAATAGGGTTTGGAGTGCTGGTTTTTATATAAAACGCCGTATTTTTCCCCATGTATTGACTTTCATGTGGATATGCAGCTTTAAACAATGTTTATTTGGGGATTTTGTCTTTCTAGTGCACTTGTTCTAGCTAATTTGTGCTTAGCTGTTGGATAGCCAGCAAGTGTCTCTGCTGTTTTGTGTCATATTTTTTCTGAAACATTTAAGCTTTAATTTTTTTCACGCATTTTATCGACTTGATATTTAAATACGAATCCATCTAAGGCAACACAAATTAAAACCGTGTTTAAAACTGCTCCAGTATTTTCTTTCCTTTCCCCCTCTCCTCCTCCTGCCCTCCACATGTATTCATAACCCTGCTTATTTTAATATCCCTCAGTAAATATTGAATTCCTGAAAGCCTGCTCATGCTCACGCTGGTTTAAACTGACTTCAGAGGAGGTTTGTTATGCCAGTGGCTGAGAAGCCCCAACTGTATTTATCTCCATTTCCATTATCTGTTAAAAGACCGTTTTCATCAGAAACATTTTTTTTTCTTAAATACTTGAAAATACACTGACCCTTTTTGTCTCTGTGAGGAGCAGACAAAACTTAGTAGTTTTGTATCAAGATGACACCTGACCAGAGATGGAAATGGAGGGGATGTATTTCTAGGTGTCCCAGCCATCTGGTAAGATGGTTAAATGCCAGATGAATTTATTTTCTAAGAACCACGTACTTAAATGAATGGTTGTAGGTTTTGGTTGCAGCCTTCATTGTCCATGGAACATGCGTTGCTACGTTTAATCAAAACTTGTCTGAACTTGATGACAGCTGAATTCTCTTGCTGATTTGGCCACTTCCCTTTTGCAGTGCGTGGACCTGAGCTGCAATGAACTGAGCGAAGTCACGTTGCCTGAAAACCTGCCTCCAAAACTGCAAGAGCTGGACCTGACTGGAAATCCCAGATTAGCCTTGGATCACAAAACCCTGGAGCTGCTGAAGTAAGTTACCTTGCAGCACGGGGAGAGGGCAGAACGACCCCCAGATGGAATGTGACAAAACCACAGGACTCTCAAGTGCAAGTCTCTTGAGGAGTGCGGCTCCTTGTTGTCAGTGGATCGGGAAGCAACAGGTTATGTGCATAGGTCAGAAATTGATGCTTCGTTAAAGATGATGACGTTACCCTCCTCAGTGCCATTGCTTTCAGCTGTAACTCCTGAAGGGATCTGCTGGTCTGGTATAACCACTGTTGGGCCAGTTTGGTCTCCTGTTTACTTCTGATGCTAGATTCAACCAAAATACTAATTTTATTCCACTGTTGAGACACCAGTAGCTGCTTACTATGTTTTTTCGCTCACACTCATCTGCTTGGGTCTGTCTTCACCATTGTGCTGCTTGTTACCTCTTCACATACTATTTGTTGCTACCCATCATAGAATCACAGAATGGTTTGGGTTGGAAGGGACCTCAAAGATCATCTAGTTCCAACCCCCCTGCCATGGGCAGGGAAACTCTCCATATCTCTCCACTCTTGTCCTAGAAAGATACTTTTCTTTTTTTGTATTTAAACCTCTCCTGAAGGCTCGTGTGTCTCTGCTTGCAGCAAAGCTAGTTCCCTTGCTTTGGGACCCTCTGTTTCCTTCCTGTCTACCTGTTTGTTTCCTGCCCTGGGACTTAAGTGTCATCCATAACTGAAATCCACCCAGTGCCTTGTGCCTCCTCCTGTGATGTGTTGGGAAACTGTTGCGCTAAACCAGATCATCTGTGGGCAGCGGTGCTGCCTTGAGCTTTTCTTGTGTCCTGAAGGGAACTGCACCAGCTCCAACTTTCCTTCTAAGTCTCTTTGATCCTTAAATATTGAACGGTTCTAAGAAGAGTTGATGTACCTTTTAAGGGTTGAGCAGTTGCTTTGTGTTGTTGGCTTTTAAACGGTTAAGATCAGACACTGGAGTAGTGACCCTCATCTGTCGTGCAAGTAAAGGAAACCTACAGTGAGAGTTTGCTTTTGGCTTGAATCAGCAGATTTTATGAAATTTAAAGGAAAATTTGAATAATGATGCAATTTCACAGATTGAAAACAAGAGTCCATGTTCTGCAGCAGACAGTGGAAAAAAAAAAAGGGGCATTCCTCCATTTTAAGAGCAACTTTATTGTATACAGGAAACCTTCCTGAAGATGCGGTGTGTAATGTTGCTCTGGTTCATAGGGAAAAAAAAAACATATATTACAAAGCTAATTGAATTGTGTCGCAACTTAAAGATCATTTTTTCTTGTGGACAAGCCAGTCTCTTGTCACTTCAGTATTCAGGCATCGTGCCCTATAGCAGTATTGTACAAATTTAAGTCCTAAGTAGTAGAAGAGTAACGTGGCCCAGTTACATGGTATGTTTTCACTGGCATATGCATTGTCTTTAATTCATAGAAAACTTTTTTCCTTTACTTATTTGTTTTTTTAATAAATTATTCTTGAGACCTTGGGTCTGTTCTCTTCCCTAATATTCCATTAGCTACAGTCAGGTGTTTCGGGCCTCCTGAGGGGCTTCTCAGTGTCTGTACCCATATACGACGCTCACTTCTATGGTATAGTGTTATAATTGACTGTGAGGGAGGAGGTGCTCCTTTCACTTATTTTTTTGTGGCAGGCACAAAAATACTTGTGCACTTGGTACTTTTATATCTTCCTTCTGCGTGTGAAAGGCAGCTCTCCATCTGTGCCCTGGCAGGATTCAAACAAGTAGTAGGTTAATACGTATTCTCAGTGCTGGTGAGAAGAAGAGTCCTGTCATGCATTCTTGCTTTTTTTAATATGTATGGAGATCTTAAAGGAGGCTTGCTTGCATGCTTAGGAGGATGTTGCTGAGTGATTTATTTATTGGATGTAAGAATTTTCAGTAGCAATTAAAAGGAAAAAAAGAAAAAAAAGAAAAAGGTGCTGCTACTCTGATTTTTAGGAAAGAGCATCTGGTTCAATTGTAACAGCCGTTTTAAATTAGGGGGGAAGACAAACTGTGCTGTCCGAAAGCCTTAGCCCGTATTTCCTGCATAGGATGTGCTGCTGGATATCGTTCCTGTCCAGGCACATGGTCTATTTGTAGTGATGCCGCTGAGGAAGCTGAAAGCAATGCGTTGAGGTAGCTTTTTTCACCACTGCTGGGAAGCTTGAGACAACTCTGGGTCCTTGACCTGCCCAGGAACCAGGGGTCAGTCACCCCAGCTGAAAAAGAAACAGAAAAACCTTTTTGATTGAAGTTTCCCTGCCCTGAAGGGTAAGTGCCTTGTAGGAGAAGTCTGCAAAGAAAGCGTGTTTGCTCGTGTGTGCAGCGTTTTGCAGGTGCAGCGAGAATTAAAATCTCTGCTACTTTAGAAGAGATCCAGGTTTGCAGTTTGATTTGAGGTCAGATAATCTTTCCTAGTGCTCGTGGCGAGATGTTTGCCTCTTGTTTGTCACACAGAGGGCTGCGAAACCACGGGCTGAGAACAGCAGTGGTTCTAAGATTATTTCTGTAATTTGTTTGCTTTTAATCTGCCCTCGCTGATGTACGTCCTGACTATTAGCATAGAAAGAAATCGAACTGGATGTGACAGTACTTCAGGTCATTCGAGGAAGGCTGTGCAATGCTGAAAAGACATTTCTGTGTGTTCAGGTCAGGTGGGGGTTTGGACAGAGGAAAACGAAGGCTCGGAGTGAACGGTTAGACCTTTCTGCTTATGTCCTTTTATGATTCATTTGGTTCATGAAAGGTTCGGGTGCCTTTGAAGTGTCTGCACTTATAGGGAGCTTGCTTTCCCTGCCTTTGGAAGAGAGCTGTAGGGAGCAGGGGGGAGGTCATCTCTCCCCGGCGAAGCAGGGCTGCGAGGAGAAGGGTATAAACAGAGAGGGCTGTGCCCTTTTCAAGTCTTTACTACGCTGCGTGAGATATTTGAAATTCAGGCTAAAGGCCATGTTGGTAGTAAATTGGAGGGTAGAGGATCAAGGGCCTGAGTGAAAATTGGACTGCACAACTGGAGAAGGCAGAAGTCCTGCTGCCTGGTTGGTGCAGGACCAGGTCGGAGCGAATTTCTGTTTTGTGGGCGTTTTCATGGACGGCCGTCAACTGCACGTTGCTGTTTCTAAACAGTTTTTTTTCTAATTTTTTTTTTTTTTTTTCATTTAGGGAATGGTGTAGGTCATAACAGGAGGTTTCATTTGAATATAACAAAGGAGCCCAGAGACTTGTTAAAATGGATGGGAGAGATGTAGAAGTTCAAAAAAAAAATGATCACTCCTCTGTATTGGCTTTCATCAAGCTAGTGACAAATTTGCCTTGTATTCCTACTGGGCTAGGTTTGAAACAAATAGCTCAGGGGTGAGGGCAGGGAAAGAAAAGCCAACTAAGCAAAACAGTGCAGCTGACACCCTCAGAGAGGCTCAGTTATTTACTACTTTTTTTTGTTCTTCCTGTACAGACACATAAAAGTAACCAGTTCGGATGTCCCGCTTCATTTTCTTCTATTAAATGTATTACTAAGAACTGAGGGGGGGGGGGGGGGGGAAAAAAAAAAAGGTGGTTTCTTCATGTTTTAAGCTGGTTGTGTCAGCACCTCAATCCATCTCATCTTTCCCCTTCCCTTTCTCCTCGCAGCAATATCCGTTGCTTCAAGATCGACCAGCCCTCGGCCGGTGATGCTTCGGGAGCGCCGGCGGTGTGGAGCCACGGTTTCACGGAAGCGTCGGGCGTTAAGAACAAGTACGACCTGGCGTGGGTTTTATTAGACGAGCGTTCCAGCAGCAGAGTGTGCCTCTATGCTGACACAAAGAAATCCTTTTTCCAGTGGAAGTTTTGGGGACGTTTTGGGCCTCACAAAGGCAGAGGCCATGCCACGGCTCTATATTTGTATACTGGGCCCCTGCCTGGCTCTCCACTTTGGTCTTTGTTAGGGAAGTTGCTAAGATACAAGAGTAACCGACACATTTTGTCTATGCGAGACTCCGGTGCTCGAAAAAGATCTGAGTGTTTAGAAGCATTTTCCTCTTTGCAAAGCTTCTTTATCTTCAACCAAAGGGTGTTTACTAAGCAAATCAGAGATACTAAAGGAAGAGGCAGAATGGCCAAAACTCTGAATATTCATAGTGTGAGGAGCTCCTGTGACTAAGGCAGCACTTGACAAATAACGTACCAAGAGTCTGCTAGTCTCTGTGGTGCTGGCAATGTGATGAATCTTTCTTTGTTCCTTAAATACCTTTTTAGAAACCTTCTGCTACCTAGGTTTCCGTAGCAAGTGCCAGCAAGCCTTTACTTACTGTCAACTGATGTAACGCACAGCTTGGTCATTGGCATATAAAATTGCAAGGATGGCTTTTGGAGGAGCAAGTGCAGTTTAAACCAATGTTGCTTCAGAGATACTTTTCCCCCTATTTCTACAAGTAAGGGACTTGTTCACATGCTGAAAAGGAGGAAGAATCCTTAGGGTTTGGCTT